AAAAAAAAAAAAAAAAAAATGCCACAGAAACTGCCCAAGTATCAATAGATGCAAAACTCTACTTCATTGGCCATTTTTAACCTGTAGTTTCTCAGAGCTACACACTTCCTAAGTGACCTGTATAAAATCTATGGGAAAACCCAGACATGGAAACTGGGATTCTAGTCCCAGATCTAGACATGCCACTGATGATGAGGGAGTGGGTAGGGAGAGGCAGTGGGTAGAAGAGAAAGAGGCAGACAGAGAAAAAGAGACAGAGAGGAGCAGTATGGGCCAAAGAGACCTTGGTTCAGCCCACCCAGGTCCATGCCCAGCTGCAGTTTTATTTCCTGCCTTCAGATTCCATCGTGACATAGCAACCCCCACTTACTCAGGCTAATCTGAATGGCATTTTATGTCTTGTAATTAATAATGTACTACCCACTGGCAAAATCTCTCACATAACTTTCAGAACCCAGTTCTACCAAAGAACTTTGTCTACCCGGCTCCCGCTCATCCTCTAGATCTTAGCTCAAACAGCACTGCAGCAGACACACCCCTCGACTCTCCCTGCACCTCCACACATGCATACACACCACGAGTACACAGGCAGTCAGGTTTCTCTGACATCTGCTCTCCTGGTCCCCTGTATTTTAACTTCACAGACTCATCACAGTTTATAACAAAACAGACGGGCGACCATCTGATCAATGCCTGCGTCTCCCTAGACAGAAAGTCCCGTGGAAAATGAGACTCCCCATTTCCACTCTCTCCATCCACGCTGTAGGTGGCAGGGTCTCCATGAAGGTTTAAGAGGGAGGGAAGAAGGAGTCAGTCCAAAAAGCATGACATCAGCTCTCAAGAGCTGCCCTTTTATTTCCTATGAATGCTCTAGCACAGCAGCTGCTAGGTCTTCCCCTGGCTAGTGGGAAAACGAGCCGTCACAGGGGAATTAAACAACTTTCTGGGGAGGCGAAAAAGACTGCAGGCTTCTCGCTGCACAGCCCTGTGCTGGGGGCTGGCTGTTCATCAGGCCCGTGCTGAGAGAGTGGGATGAAGACCAGGCGGCCCGGGGCCTCCAAGCAGCTCAGGGGGGCAGGAAGGTGCCACAGTAAGGAACGTGTGTGCCCTGGAGGAGCGATACAATACTTGCATCAGACAGATGAGCAAGTCGGACATGCAGGAGGGGAGCCGCCACCCCAGCATGGCTGCAGTGGGATGGGAACAGCGTCCCCCACCCCCAAGAGCTGTGCGATGATGGGGAGCGCTGTGAAGTCTTGGGGATTTGACCTCACGTGTCATGATGCGCTCAGAGCTTTTCAAACAGACATTAATGATTTGTCATGGACAGATTCTTTTCTAGGCCCTGATCGCTGAGCAAGTCCCCTCCATTCATGTCACAGGCCCTGCTGTTCCCTCCGCACCTCCAACCTCTTCCCCACCAGACTGTGGGCATGAGAGGGGCAGCCCCACCCTCCCACATCCCCAGCCTCAAAATGCCATGCCAGGCTCCCACTAAGTGCCCTATCTTTCAATTCTATGACACACTCTTTGCTTCATGTTCTCATGTTTCCACGGTCAGGATCACCTGGCACTATGGAACACTGCATTCAACGTGGCAGTGCTTCTTCTCCTCCTGGAACCTGCTGTAAAGCCCTGGGTGTAGGAGGTCAGAATCAGGAAACTGAAACTTGCATGAGACCTTGAGCCAGTCGCCTAACCAAGCAAGCCCCGCTGCTTCCTCCTCTCTAGAGCTGGAGGTGTTCCGTGTCAGTCTCTTGGGGCCATGGAGCGGGCCAGGGAAATCATGCCTGTGGAGCTTTGAGGGCAGCGTCTGGCTTACAGGTTTTCATGTGCTCTGCCCCATGTTCTCGCAGTGATGGGGGAATCAGGGGAGGGGGGTATGGGCCAAAGGAGCTGTGGAGAGAAACAAAGGCAGGGCCACTTGGGAGTTACCAAAAATCTGTATTCCAGATTCTCAGAATCCCTGCTTTTATTGTTTTATCTGCTGTGCTTCTGTGAAGAGCGCTAGATAGAAACATCTAGAACCGGCTGGCCATGGCCCTATTGTTTCTGGACCCTTGCTGGTGTGTACACACATTCCACGTAAGCAGCCACTTACGTTTTCCAGATGATTCCTTGTGGGTGCTGTTTGAAATACAGCTGACCCTTGAGCAATACAGGTTTGAACTGTGCAGGGCCACTTATGTATGGATTTTCCTCCACTGCCACCCTTGACACAGCAAGGCCTTCCTCTCCCTCCTCCTCCTCCTCCACTTACTCAGCATAAACGCAATGAGGATGAAGGCCTTGATGATCATCCGCTTCCACTTAATGAGTAGAAAATTTGTTTTCTCTTAGGATTTTCTGTATTTTTTAAGAGACAGAATCTGTGTCACTGAGGCTGGAATGCGGTGGCACAAGCATGGCTCACTGCAGCCTCGAACTCCTGGCCTCAAGTGATCCTCCCGTCTCGGCCTCCC